CTCCAAGATGTCCAAGCCACTGGGGACTCCACAGCAGTCAGACACCCTGGAAAGATTTATCTTCCAATCATTTTTCTCATTACTGAGTAAGAAACTCCAAGATCACAAGCTCCATTGGTGATGTGTTCTGACTTCAATTCACAACACAAGTATCTTCTCATGTCTGTCCCAACACACTCTTTTATTCTCTCTGGCTCCCATACTATGAGGAGTCATTCCCTATCCACCCTTTCTTTGCATTAATGTTTTAGAGATCTTTTTCACATGCTACATCAGCTGTTTCTCTCCAGGCCAAAAAACCCTAGCCATTTACTTATTCTTCATATTAAAGAAAATGATCACTGAGTGACTAAACCTGAACTGGCTGTTCCTCTATCAATCTGGTGCTACAAGATGATCAACCTTTTGCTGTTCACCTGCAATCCCCAAGGTCATCCAGGTCTAATCTGTGGGCCCTCGATTAAACAGCTCTTCAACTACACCCTTTTTTTAATTTGCTTTAACATATATGGAAAATAAATAAGCGTTACAAAGAAAATAGGAGCAAAGTTGCTAGAAGCTAGTGAAAGCCAGGGTGCACAAAACCATGGGAAACTATAAATAAAGAGACTTGGTTGAGCATGCTTGGGAACTGTCTCATTCCTCTTGAAAGAATATGAGGATTTGACATTGGATAACACACTCATTCCTAATTTTACACCAAGAACATCACAAACTGCCTTCAACTCCAAAAAAAATTTTAATCTAATCTAACACAAGAGATTAGATTGGCAAAAATCACTGACAGGGAAATTCTAAATTATATTCATATCTGTTTGGTCAGTTATCCCACATTTTCTAATGTTTAAGGCACACACAGCACTAAGGCATCATTGCCTTCACAAAGATATTGGGGTTTAAGAAGAACAGGCTTTGCAGAAGTCTCACACTGACAGTATCACTGGAGCAGTACTGTGATACCATAGTGGCTAAATAAGCATTCTGGCAGCAGTGAGATTTTAGACACATGGCTGTGATAACCTGCTATCTATATTTACATTTCAGGACTTGGAATCAGTATAGCAGGTGTTATCTGAAAAATATCAGAGAGTCACAGGAAAACAATAGCACAGGGAAACTTCAAAATGTCCCTGGACAACCACATTCCTTCAGTGACAAGAGTGCCTTTCCCATTCTCCCATACTACACATCTTTTATACCTAAGCTTTCTTCTGAAGTTTGGAGAAAACCAAACTTTTAGGTTTGTTATAAGAAAAACATTTTCCTCTGTGTATGTAGTTCTCAGATACATCTTTCTGTATACATATATCCCAAAGGATGACAGGACATCTCTTTAAATACATGGACTTCTCAAAGTTGCCTGTTCATGAAACCAAGACTTCAAAATACGTCTCAAGTCCACTTTGACTCAGATACTCTAAGAGGTGCAATGGGTCATACAGTGGAAAAACAGAGCTTTCAATCTAAATTTGCAGTTTACATTAATCGTTTTGAAAATTGCTGCTTTGTGGGCCACAAACATTGAGTCAGGGTCTGTGACTGGGCTCCCATAAAATAATTATTTCCCTCTTGCTTGCCACATTAGCTGGGGTCTGTTCATTCTGCCAGTGCTCACTACTCCACTCCAAGCAAAGCCTGCAAGTGGAAAAACTAAGGGACACAGAAGAGAAGGAAAAAGTTTGTAACAAGACTTTTCTTCTTTTTTCTTCCCCAAACTCAGCAATGAGACTCACTGAGTGGCTGCAGCTCACATTCAGAAGAGCTACTATGCCTCTCAGTCACCTTAACTGCATGAACAACTAAAAGTCAGTTTATTCATTGAGCCAAATTCCTTCTCCCTTAAAATACCCACTTTAATGGGAACAGTAAAACTGACACAAAGCAGGATTTTAAATACTAAAAATGGTTTTGATTATTAAAACCAATAAAATAATTAACCAAAGGAAAGTAGAAACTCTAATGTGAGAAAGTTGGACTTCATAGTCTTGGAGGTCTTTTCCAGCCTAAATGTTTCTGTGATTCTGAGAACCAAAGCAAACAGAGAAAAGCAGCTACAAGCAAAATGATGAGGTAGAATTTTACAGAAATTAAAAAGCAGACAAGGAAACACAAGCTGAAACCTCAGAGAAAGTGATGAAAAAGAATTTATTTTTAAAAGGCTTTCTTGATACAAGGACCTGAGCCTGGAAGCTTCTAGAGAACTCCAGAATCACCTTTTAACAAAGAATAAATACACAAAAGAGACCCAAGTCTGTCTTTAAAGAGAAAAGTAAAAAAAAATTTTTAAATGGTTTATGCTACAAAAATCCTGTTTCATTCAAGGAAGGCTGTACTTTGATATGAATCCTGTGCTAAGGAAGAGAAGAATATTCTGCAAGGAATACTTCAAGCAAGAATCCAGCTACTAACATGCCAGGAAGAAAATGGTAGAACAAGCTGGAAAGAAAAGCTAAATTATATGTTGATAAATTAAATTGATTCACAGAAGCCATGGGGCAGTCAACAAACTAGATAGGGTTAGTTAGGGAAAGTAAAGTTAACCCCTATGGTAAAAAAAGGGGAGGAAGTTAGTTGTAGAGAAAGGAAATATGTGAAAAGCACAGAATGAAAGGAGGAACTGAAAAATCCATGGCCAAAAAGTTGGGACAGCTGGGATTGTAGGTAATAAAAATGTGGGATTCAGGCAACGGTATTCAACTGTTCCTAGACGAAAGCCATCCAGATGTCCCATCAAGCCGGACAAAATATTCAATACATCTGTTCCAAACTTGTCAAGAAAGCCCACTTATACAGGCAAAATAGTAAGAGAGTTCATATGAATTCAAGAAACAAGGCATGTAACTCAGTAATTAATAATTAATCAAACTACATAATGCCAAATCAATTATTCAGATTTCAATGCTAATGTTGCAATAGTACCTCCATAAATAAACTTTTTGAAAGGTATCCAGTCCCACAGCACTTTGCCTAATGAATTCTAATGCAAAATTGATGTAAAGTATGTTGTGTACTGGGTATAACAATAACAGATCTCACAAGATGATTGCAATGTCACTCAATAGATACATTTTTCATGGAGTGCTGCAGGAATCACCCTGGTCCTGCACAGCACATAATTAATAACTTGGATAAAAATAAAAGTATTTGAAAATATGAAGTATTTGAGGTGGGATCTAGAAGAGAAGAGTTGGAAGGAAAAGTTGCTAATACAATGAAGCAGGATTCTCTCAAGCTCACTGCTGATGAAACATTTGAAAATGCCATAAAAAAAGATAGTGCACATTTTGAAAAGAAAATATGTCACAAAAAACAATCTTGGGAAGAACAGCTTCAAACCATAACTGAAATGTCAGAGTTTTATAAAAAAGAAGCAAAACTTCTGCGGGAGGCAGGCCTCATGCTGCCATCTAGAGGAGACTGGTCAGCAGCAGGCTTTGTCCTGCTTTTGACAGCCAGCGTCAATGCACCGGCCAAGTCAAGAGGGGACCAGTACATTTCAGTACAGAGAAATAACCAAACTATATACGTCTGAGATAAAACCACAAGCCTCTTAACTTTAATGAACAGATATTTTGGCTTTTTTTTTTTATTATTATTGTTCTCTCACTTATTTGAGGTCCATAAGAGAAAATAACCTAAGGACAGTATTAGGAAAAACAGTCCTGAGCAGTTTCTGTTCAAATTCCACAACTAATTTTTGGTAAGAATTTTCAAAGATAAATGTACATTACAACACACAAAATAGTAAATAGATTACAGTAAAGGAAAACTGCCTTCAGTGAGAAGAAGTTACAAGCATGGAAAACTGTCATAAAGGTTGAAAATTCAAGACTTAAGTTATAACTGTTGAACCTCGTATTTCAGTTTTCACCCACTTTGTCTTATTTATATATGCACTTGTTCTCAGTAAAAATAAATGGAACCACATGTAACAGGTATTACACATGCAGTAAGGAAACAAACACCTCCCTAGCTTTACTGCAACTCAGGCTCTGCTAAAGTCCATTTAGCAGAATGACACTGTCTGACATCAGAGCCTGTAACTTAACTGAGAAAGCAAACCATCAGCCAATCTTTGAATTTGACTCAGTTTTACACTGTTATACTTTAACTTCTACTCCAAATGCTTCACACAGTCTTAACAGATATTAGCACTGAAAGTAAAATAAACTCAAAAGTAGGTTAAAACAAGCTTAATGATTTGTTATTAAGAATGCATTAGGCTATCCTATGTCTGCAGTCAGAAAGACTCTAAAGGTTTATTACTAAGTTGTAGTACCCACTAAAAGCAAGGTGAAAGACTTGAAACTTTTGGTGCTTCATGTAGCCCAAGAGTAATTACAACCAGGGTCTAAACAGAAAAAAAAATGTGTTGGTATGTATGGGTAGTATTAAAACCAACTCCACAATATTCTTGATATCCTCAAAGCTATATCAACCTGTTAACAGGAGTCCTAAATGAGACAATGAAAGGAGCTCTTTTTTCAAAAAAACACAGAAAGAGTTGGCTGTTTGCAACTGGGATGAAAGTCATCTTTATTACTCAATGACATCACTGCCCACCACAACTGAGTGTAAAAAAAGTAACAGCTACAGAAGCAGAAAGCAGTATGAATACCAAAGTGACAGGAGAATCCTATACACAAATTTCCCTGTGGAGGCAGTGCATGAAATTTGAGAGAAGTACTGCCACAATTATTTTGAGAAATACCTTTAGAATTTGAGTGGGAAATTAAGCAAAGTGACCTGATTTATGTAACACAATGTTAACTCAGGAACAGAAGTCTCTGTGCCACTGGGTAACACCAGACACACATCTTCCCCCATGCAGGTAGGCTGTAAGTTGGAGATGTAAGTTCATTCTCTCATCCTGTTGCAGGAGGTCACTGTAAAACACTTGCCAAATCTGTCAACACACTTTTCCAGCTACCAATGTACAGGCACATGCTTTAGTGGAAAGATTTGGAATGCAGTCAGTCATATCTGTGTACAGCACTTACATTCATCCAGTCCCAGTTGATAAGCCAGGTTCTGCAGGCCACGAACTTTTTCCATCAGATTAGCTGTAGTAAGGCTCCCCAGCTCTTAAAAAGAGAGAAAAAGACGAATTTTAACCCTCTCTATAGTCCTCCAATAGCAGTTCACCTGTTTAGTACTTCACAGAGCACTTTCAAGCCTTAATTCTGTCAGGATCTGTTTCAGTGAACAGCGTACATTCAAAATTCAAGCTGACTCCACTCCTAATTTTAAAGTATGGAGAAAGGCAGCCATGACTCTAGTTCGTGATTTGATCTGCCACCATTGCAAAGAGTAATTTGACCTATACTTTAGAAGTTCCTCTAAGTTCACACTGCAACATGAACAAGCTATATAAAAGTAGCAAGGGAATGGACTTATTTTGCATTAATAACGTGAGTTCAAGCACATTTCTTGGAGTGAGTCAGAGTTAAATTGTCTCACTTTCACTCTGTAGCTGTGACATGTCACTGTGACACGATCACACACCATCATTCAGAATTCATGACAGGAAGAGCACGCTGAAGGATATTGACTGCAAACTAACAGCTGCACCATGAAGAAAGTGTACATGCTAGCTAATCCTGCTGTAACTTGCCTGTACAGCCTCACCGTTGCATTGGAGCTCCTGGATCTGTGAGGGAACACACACACGTAGAGCATCTCTGAACAAGTCAATCAACAAGTCTAAGCTACTCACCAACTGATCAGCTGAGCCCCTCCAAAAAATTAATGCTACTTCTCAAAATGCAGGAGATGCTCACTATACTTATATGGTGATAAAAAGGCTATGGGAGGTGACTGAAATATATACAATGTTACATTGCTTATCTTGAAAAATCAGCCTGCCACTGATATCTGGATAGGCTCTTGGAAATAACTGGTTTAATGAAAATGTCTATCATTAACAAGATGAAGAGACTTATGAGTTGGAGATTCTGCAAATATGATGGCTAGAGATCTCAGGCCATAAGGCCACCACCAAAACATTTAAAGAACAAGTGTTTTAAGCCTCTTAGTAACTACTGAATTCCCATCTGCTTTGGCAACCTTAATTCTTGCCCACAATATTCATACTCACCCTTCAACATATCAATATCATCATTTTCTAATTCAGCCATCCACTTGGGGGGAGAACTTGTAATGGGCTATTTTGAAAAAAATAGAAGTTCATATTCAGAAAAGTCCATTCTTAGAATTATACAATGAAGTACGATCTGTATTGAAAACTAGTTACAACAACAGCAAAAATGCGAGAGTGTGTGCCATAGAAATACCTTTATGCCATAGAAATACCTTTATGTTTAATCTTACTTTTTCCTGGACACTTTAGAGTTAAAAACGGCATACCACCATTCACAAGCCAAAAAATCAGTATGAAAAATAGGATTTTCTGACGTTTAAAAGCCTTTACTGCTTTCAAAGTATAATTCTCATACACAGTGAACTACAGAAGGCATAAAAAGAAACACACATATAAAAGATACATTAAAACCAAAAGCTATATTGTAGCATATATTGCTGAGATACGGTTCATAGAAGATGTAAAGCGCGCAAGAGAACCTGCCGATCTACTATTACACGGAAGGAAGAAACGCGGAAGGGAAAGGCAAAGCAGCGCTCACTCACGCTTTTGAAGGAGGCGGCGAACTCGGCAACCCCGGGCACTGGGGAGAGAAAGCGGAGGTTGGCACGGGGTGAGCGCTCCTGCGGGCAGCACCGCCACCCCGCCCGCCCGGCCCGGCCCGGCCCGGCCCGTGCAGCTGCCCCAAGGAGGCCCGGCCCGGCCCGGCCCGTGCAGCTGCCCCAAGGAGGCCCGGCCCGGCCCGGCCGGGCTCTCCCCACCCCACCCCGAGCTGTCAGACTCGGGGCCGCGGGCCCGCCGCACTTACGCTGCTCGGGCCACAGGTCCGGGGAGGCGCGGTCCAGCTTCTCGAAGCTCAGCAGCGAGGTCTCCAGGTCGGCGCCTGCAACAGAGAGGGGGTGAGGGCAGTGCGGGCGGGGAGCGGCGCGGGAGCGGCGGTGCCGCCCGGCCCTCCCGCCTCACCGTCCGCCGGAGCCGCCATGGCGCGCGCCTCACGTGACCGCGCCCGCGGCCGAGCCGCGCGGGAGCGGAAAGCAGGCCCCGCCCCCAGCCCCACGCGCCGCGCTCGCGGCCGCCGCAGGGCGGGGCCGGGCCGGGCCGGGCCGGGCCGTGACGCTCGGAGGGCGGCTCGGCCCCCTCCGCCAATCCGCGGCCCGGCACGGGGGGCGGGGGCCGTGGGGGCGCGGCCAGAGCGGCTGCTGGCGGCGATTGGCCGCGCGGGGGCGGGGCCGGGGCGGGGGCGCGGCCGGGGGCCTCGGAGCGGGGACCCTCGGCCGGGATGGCGGCGGCGGCGGCGGCGCGGGGAGCGTGGGGCGGGCGGCGCCGCGTGGCGCTCAGGGTGAGGCGGCCGGCCGGCCCCGGGCGGCTCCCGCGGCTCGGGGGGCGCAGGGGGGTCGAGGCTCACCTGACCCCGGGGCCCCGCGGGGGTCGGTTCCGGGCGGGAGCAGCCGGAGGGGGGTCGGGGGGAGGTGCTGCCTGACCCGCCCTGAGGTGGTCTGTGCTTGCCCCCGTCCAGCTGCCGCGGACAGCCGGTGCCCCCTGGACCACCTCAGTCGCCGCGTCCTTCTCTTCCTCGGTGGTGAGTGCCCGTCCCGCGGAGCGGAGCCGGTGGGCGGGGAGGGAGGCGCGGGAGAGCCCCGGGCGCCGCCGCCCGCCGGACACTGCCCTCGGCTCCGCTCCGCTGAGGCCGTTCCCGCCGGCTCGGCTGGACCCCGGCGGGTCCGGTGGAACAAACATCGGCTCTGCGCCCGTGCTCCACGGGAGGGACGGGAAAAAGTTCCATGTCCGATTTGTCGGACTGCGGAGCTGAGCGGTGGCCGCCCTCACCCCGCGGTACTCCTGGTGGCTCTGGACTGGCCTCATGCATCTATTTGCGACAGAGAGAGGATCTGGTTTCTTTCGGACAGTATCAAACAGCTTTGGTTCTTGTACTGCCTTTTTTCCTCTGCTGTCCATGGCTGCACACTCTCTGAACTCCAAACCAGAATTCCACAAGTAGTCTGCTTTACTACCGTCCATGTTTCCACAGCAGGTGCATTCTCTACATAAAAAAAGGTGGCGATGTTATGGGAAAGGTGCAATTAATTTTAATTCACCATTTTCTGGCTTGCTTAAAGTATTTTTTGTTGCGTGTGCAATGTTTGAGATACCCTTTTTAATCAATTTGAAAAAGACATTAACTCCATTGCACTGAAGTCTATGTGGGTCATAAAGCATTGGTGCTTGTGGTTGTACTGCATTAGCCTCGGTGGCACTGAGGCTAATGGAGTGATTGATAGCCATAGGAGTTTGTCATTCTTTAGACCAGCAGCTTTTCTCACAGTCAGGAAACTCGGTCAAGGGACTCGGATATCCTGTGCTTTCTTCCAGGTTCTAGAGGAGATTGTGTTTTTGTAGGCACAGATTTCTGCCTCTCTTCCCCAAGTGTGAGTCCAGCTACATAATCATCTGCAACATTTTAATTTTAATTCTCTTCTAGCATTGCTTTCCAAATCATTAAGTTTTGCTTGTCCATTAACAGACTTATTTTATACTTCTGATCCTAACTTTCTCATCTCAAAGCTTTCTCAGTTTGTCCAACTAACATTGCTGTTAATTTTTTTTCACTTTCATCCACTTTTCACTGTCATCACTTGTCCACCCTGTACCATTTATGTTCCTGATTCTTACTCTGATCTCTGTCTCTTCATTACACTTTGGATATCATCCAAGTTCTCATCTCCCTTTCATAATTCCATATCATAATTTCTTCATTTTCATGATATATTTGGGTTTATATCCTGGTTCTGTTGATCTGTCCCATTTGTGTTATTCATACAGAAGATCCATTTCCCCTTTCTCTTACATGTTCTCCCCAAGTCATGGATTTGTGTCATGATTAACTGGTTCTTGCTTTCTTCTAATTCTCTCCTTACCTCCCAATGTCAACTCCTCTTTTATAGTTTCTTAATTTATACAGTCACAATTTGTTTTCCTGCATGGTATAGTTTTGTTGCCTATCTAATGCTAATTACAGCTTTTACCTCTGCCTTCTGTTCTGTTCTATGTTTGCCTGAACTCCTTATTCCAAACTTTCCTTGTCCCTCCTCTTCATCTGAGTGGGAAAGTTTTGTTTTCTGTGCTGCCAGCCAGGACAGTCCACAGATACAGGTTTCTTACTCTTAGTTGCAAGACCAAGCAGGGGGTGGGGAAAGTCCAATTTTCTGCTTGAAGCTATAAACTGGAAAGATGAACCTGCTTAGTGGCTTGATGGGAAGGAGGCACATGGGACAGTGGTACAGTCTGCAGTGGGTTCACAGAATTCCCATGAAGTGAATTATTAACTGTTTCTTCTGAACATTTATGAGTTGCAGTTTTTCAGGTTTTGATTAAATAGATTGAAACAATCCCAAACATAAGCAGAGCAATGTATTTTTTTCTATAACTGCTTTTAGAAAGAATTTTGGCTATTTTGGTGTAAAGAGAGCAAAATGGGGCAGAGAGCAATTATCTGGGTCTTGCTGTGAAGACTGGATACAGACTTTAGTGGTTCACATAGCAGTCAATGATAAAGGCTTGCATGTAATATGGCACATTGGCATTTAGGCATGTTGAGACAAAAATAACTCACTTTTCAGTGTTTTGACCTCCACAGCCAACAACCAAACTCTTCATTGATGGGAAGTTTATTGAGTCCAAAACTACTGAATGGATTGATATCCACAACCCAGTAAGTGAAATGCTCTCACCTTATGTAAATAGTGATCACTGTGAAACAAAGGTCTATGCCTCTTCAGGGATGTGGCAGATGAAAAACATACTTTTCTTGAGAAAGGTTTAGACTCAGCAGACTACAGCTTCTCAGTTTCCTTTTCACATGAAATATCAGTCTCAGAATAAGTTACTATCACCCTTACCTCCCTCACATAGTAAGCCCCTGGTCTCCAGAAAGGAAGCTTAAATTTTGGTTATGTATTTTTTTGTATGTCAGATTTCTGAAGGGTGTCTTTCACTCTGTATATGAAATCAACTGGGTGTGATTTGATCCCAGCTGAATGTGAAATCCTGGTAGAGGCTGATATTACTCTCAGAGTAAAAAGGTGAAAAATGCTAACAGCTGAAGCTCCTCTCCTTTCAGAGAGTTTCTATCTTTGACGCACAATAATCACAGAGCTAGATGCTATGCAGTGCAAAATAGATAAGTAGCACTTGTGTTGTCTATGTACTCCACCAAAGACAAATGGAAATGAGGTTGCACTCAGAATTCTGATCCTCTGGCCTTCCTAGTAAGCCTTTAAAACAGCAGTTTCTAAATCTTTTCTGTACAGCTCTATTTTCATTTGCTTTGTGCAAATGATCAGAGCAGCAAGTAATGTTCATGAAGCTCATTTGGTCTATGTAGCAAGCAGTGCTCTTGTTTAATTTTCTTCCTCTTGTTTTGAGTAATTTCTGTCTTACTGATATATCTGAAATTTTTGTCATGTCAAAGCAGATTTAATTCTTAAGATAACATTAGAAGGAGGTTAAACTGGCACCAAGCTTGAAGTTAAAATACTATAGAATTAAGGTTGTATATAAATAGTACTTTGGCCTAGGGGTATAGGTAAGCTAATATCAATGGCAAATGTGCAGTCATGTACTGCTTTTCACAAAGGAATATTGCCTCATTTAATGTGCAAGAGGGACAGCCAGATGAACCAAGACGATGGAGAGGGAAAAGACCATAGTCCATGGAAAATTTTTCCTTATACTGTCTAGAAGTTTCAAGATAGCCAAGTCACTTCAACTCCAGCTTGGAAATCAGCACTGCATTTGTAGTTTTCTGAGTGCTTAGCTTGATATATTTGGAATGCAGGTTTTCAGAACTACTCCAGTTGTAGCCCAGGCCTTTTGTGTGTAATCAAGGAAGGCATTTCCTTTGTGCTCTGCCCTCAGAAGTACAACTTGTAGAACAAGAATATTAGGTGTGTGCTGTGAAAGAACTCTTGAATGGTTGGTGGGAACACATAGGAAAAGCTGAGTTTTGATGCAATTTGTTTTCTCTTTCAGGCCACAAATGAGGTGGTTGGCCGTGTACCGAAAGCCACAGCCAGTGAGATGGAGGCAGCTGTGGCTTCTTGCAAAAAGGCTTTTTGGAACTGGTCAGAAACATCTGTTTTGAGTCGCCAGCAAATTTTTCTGCGCTATCAACAGCTCATCAAAGACAATCTGGTGAGATACCATGGCTGTGTGTGATGTCTGTGGCTGAATGCATTGCAGCTGATTTCAGAAACTAAATTGAGAGAGACTTGGGGTTTACAGTGTTCTTGATGAGGTGCTGCCATGATTGAGGAATCAACTGAGACACTGTCGAGAGGTGCAGCAAAGCACTTCTCTCATCAAATGGTAACAGAGGCAGCGCTTTTTAGGGAATATTGCTCTGAATTTGTTCCTTTACCAAGAGACCACAGAAGGAACTTTGAGCCTTGATGGAACATGTGTCAGTTGATGAAGACAAGTATGTTACTATGTTTTTGGATTTTCCTGATGGATTTTTTGGTCTGTATGTGGTGTCATACCTGAAACCATTAGAATACAAACCATCCGATGATGATTTTTTCTAAAATGTCACCTAGGTGGGTTATTGGCTTCTTGTTTATAGGGAGCAAATCAGTCAGTATAGGTTTTTCTGGGTTGTGTTCAGTCTATTCATTGTGATGTTCAACTCTATGTTAATTCTGTCTTTTTCATGGGCAGGCACTTTTCTAACATTCATAAACTTTGTGTTTTCCATTTTCAGAAAGAAATTTCCAAACTCATCACCTTTGAGCAAGGAAAGACCCTGGCTGATGCTGAGGGAGATGTTTTCCGAGGCCTCCGTAAGCTGCTGGCTCCTCCTGTTAAAAAAGGGGGTTTGAGAACCCACAGGAAGGGATGAGGTCTCCTGAGCAACTGATTGCTCTGTATATGTTGATCCCTTTATAGCCCTCTACTCAAAGAAAAGTATCAATTGTAGCTCTAAGCTGAAGAGTTTTCTTAGATAATTTTTAAATCAC